GGGCTCACGGGATCGACCCACCGTCACGTCACACACCGGGCTCACGGGATCGACCCACCGTGTTAAAGCCATCTTGGTCTTTTGAAACTATAGTAACCTTATTTGGAAGAGCAGGGGGTGGAGCCTGACTGAGAGCTCCAGGACTGTTTACGCCCACCTGCACTCATTGGACAGCTCTAGCTGTCGATCACATGGCATCCACACTCCCAAACACCAGAGGAGCCGTGTAAGCAGGAGCTTCCTGTTTCCTGCTTCCTGCTGCACCAGCTCTGGCTTCAACTCTCTGGAGATCCTCCTGCTGTTGTGAACACGTCTGACCCGGACGACCTCCTGCGTCCTTCACATGTGACAGATGAACTGGGACCTCCTTGTAAACAGCTTGAGGAGGACCACTTTATCTGTCTTTTATCTTTTTGTCCAGTCTCTTGCAGGAGAGCCTGACACACATCACACACAGGACACACTCACCAGCACTTAAATCTGACACTGGGCGTAAATCAAGATCAATCACGCACGCGAGGACACGTTCCTCACGCTGGTTTCACGTGGTTTCTAGATGAGGCCGTAATGCACCGAGACAGACAGAGAAGAGAAGAGTGCAGCTCGTAAACGCAGAATTAAAGAGTGTGAGCTTAATGCCCATCTCAAAGAAATAACGTGGCACCAACTGTTCACTAAGTGGCTCAACGGACAGGAGCCTTTATTTAAGCTGCTTCTCTTCAGCCTCGACAGAAAACACCTTTCAGCTCCGGCTGAACACTATAAATATTTGAGTTCCACACGGAATCGATCTCACCTGAGGTTCCTCCAGTGATAAAGTACAGGTTGGCTGCAGCCCCGTGAATAGGAAAATGCTTTTGTCTCCTACATCTCAAGATGAGAGATCACTTTAATTTCAACCTGCTTCATTACATAGAGCCGGAACTTTATCGTTTTCTCCAAAGACCAGAAACCACGAGTGGATTAACTCATTTATCATCATCATAGACAACAACAGAACTCTTACGATGAGCTTTCAGGATTCATCCGGTAACAATATCATTATTTAAAGTGTTTTTTATCATGAGATGTTTGTGGCAATAACAATGAATTCTTGTTATTAAAATAGTTTTTCTTCACCAAGATGAGAAGTCACATGGGTTTTTCCTACAGTTCTTTATCAACAATGACCTCTGACACATTTCCATCATCTTCCTCCTGACGACTGTAGCGTGGAAATGAATCCTCGGGATGCAGAGAGAGAGCGAGAACTCTTAGACGTTGCACCTCTGGGACCATAAAACTGTCCATTAAGATTTCACAGGGTGGGAAGAGGTCTGATAATTGCATTCTCCTCCCCCCCCGAACTCAAACCTCGACCCACTCGTATTAAATAACCTGCGTGTAGAGTGTGTTGGAAAGACGCAAAGAAAACGTGAAAGCAAACCGATGAAGAAGTGAGGAAATGAAACAGGAAGAGAAGAAGGAAACTTTCACATAATTTAACACTGCATTGTACTTTAGTTTGGTCCATGTCCCATCTGCTAACATTGAGGAGGTTTATGACCTATACTGCAGACAGCCACCAGGGGGCGTTCCCGATGATAATGATATATGAGTGTTTACGTGTGTGTACCTGTGCAGATGCAGCACTGTTCAGACTGGTTGTGTGGTAACAGGGTTTCCTGGTCAGGCGTGCAGGGAAGCCACACACACTCTGCACTCGGTCCCTAACGTCGGACAGGAAGGAGCCCAGCGCCCCCTGCAGGTCGACCCGGGGGCAGCACTGTGCTGGCTGCAGGCGGATGCAGCTCAGAGGGTAACTGCTCAGGATGAGAGTTAAAGGAACATTCTGCAGCTTTTAGACACAGAACAGATTCAACTGATGAACATTTTAATACGTTTAATTCTATTTGCTTTATTATGACTTTCTAAATTATTTCACAGCATTACTTACAACCAGTCTGGGATCGACACCGAGCACTGATCAGATTCTGATGAAGAATCTATGATCATAAATGGTTTTAGGATACGTGAAGAGTCTCTCTCCCACCAGTCTGAAGTAAACGCTGCAGTAAACCACCTCCGCCTCTGTGAGCTCAGGGAGTCTGTAACCGTACTGCAGGACAGACACAGCGTTTAACTGAACATCTTTATTCTACTTCACACAAGGATCATAACACTCAAAGAAAAGCTTGTTCCAGTGTGTGTGTGTGTGTGTGTGTGTGAGAGTGTGTGTGAGAGTGTGTGTGAGAGTGTGTGTGTGAGAGAGTGTGTGAGAGAGTGTGTGAGAGAGTGTGTGAGAGAGTGTGTGTGAGAGTGTGTGTGAGAGTGTGTGTGAGAGTGTGTGTGAGAGTGTGTGTGTGTGAGTGTCTGTGTACCAGGCAGTTCCAGTGGTTCTGCAGGTCTGTGTAGGTCCTGAAGGGTCCGTCTCTGGGCAGCTGACGGCTGATGGTGATAATCTGACCTTTCTTCATGCTGAACAGACACACACACACACACGCACACATGCACACATGCACATGCACACACACACACACACACACATGCATTCACGCACACACAGTAAATTTGTGAGGCTTTGTGAAAACAAACTCTGGTGAGAATCTGCAGCAGGTTTGAGTTAAATAAGACCTGCAGCACCACCTGCTGGTCACAGTTGATGTAACATAATATGTGGTTTGGGCAGTTAACGGTTGAGAAGTGTGTGTGCAGCAGGTGGCGCTGTCTCACCTGGGCAGGACATGACACCAAATGGTTCCCCCAGTGGAGGACGGGTCGAGGATTGAGTCGGGATCACTGCAGAACCTCCGCAGCACCAACGGAGGGAGGTCAAAGTCCTCCAGCTGCAACACACACACATTTCTTACTCCGTCATTTATCGTAAAGAACCTCGGTTCAACTCCAGCTGCTTTTGATCGTGTTTAAGAATGAAGGATTCTTCTGTTCTAAAAACAAACCTAATGCACACACTTGTGAATGAGTAAAGTTATAGTTGGAGTCACAGATTCATGATCTGTAAAGAAGAGAAAAGATCATTCAGTGTTTTCGTACTGTGGTGGGGGGCAGTCTGACGGTGTGGGTGTCAATGCTGATGCACAGTTGGCCTTCAGTGGTGCTCAGCTCCATGCCTGACACACACACACACGCACACACGCACACACACACACACACACACACACACACACACAGTGTGGGGTGATGGGACGTGTTGTTAGAAATCAGTGTTTCTCTGACTTGTCTCTGAGGCTGTGAGTCGAGGTGGTAAAAGATGGAGAGAAATAAACCGTGACACTCACTGACAGCGCTCTGTGTCCCCCTCTCACTCAGAAAGTCCTTTCCTGGGAACAGACAGAAAACAGACGTCACACTTTGAAATGGACGACGGACAGTGACATCACCACCGACGTCATTTCTAGTCCAGGTCTGATGCAGCACATGGAAATCAATAATGAGTCATTTAAATCTGATGTCTCGGTAACTTGTTTTCATATGAACTCTTTTTTCTCTGTTCATTCTGAACCAGCAAACGAAAACACACACGGCTCCGTGCAGCTTCAGTGAACATCTCACTTTACCTTTAACTAACCAACAACTCACACCTGACCTCTCACACCAACCAGGATGTCCCAACAGAGGTTTAGTTTCATAACAAGCAAGCTTTGGTCCTCACACACACGCACACACACCAGTTTATGACACACTTTGTGCAGGGTTAAAGCTTGACTACATGTTGCAACACTCAACTGTCACACA